GACTAAAGACTCAAAATTTGGTTTTGTTTAAGTTTATTTTAATGCCCATTTCTCTCCTAGACTACAATCAAGCAGAATTTAGAGACCTCCAATATTTTCTGACAGAATTACTGTATTGTCCGCGTATCTAATTACGTTAAGTAGTTCCCCGTTGATTTTTATTCCATATGGCTATCTCTCAAGAGCCTTTTTAAATAGCTTGTTCGAGTAAACATTGAACAATATTGGCGACAAAATGCCACCTTGCCTGACTCCTCATTGTATGGAGATTTCGTCGGTGTAGTTGTCTCCAATTTTAACGATAGTAGTTTGATTCCAGTTCAGATTTTTAATGACACGAATATCTTTGTCATCTATTCCTATATTTTTTAGCACCTGCATTATTTTACATGATTTACTTTATTATATGCCTTTTCGAAGAAGGTATGAGAAAAAAGTGAGTCCCTAGTTCCCATAGCATTCCTAAAACCAAATTGGGTATCTTCGACATGTTTGTTTTGTTGTGGTGTATTCTTAGGAAATAGTGTGGCTCATTAGGCTAATCTTATTTCTTATTTCTTTTAGATTTACAATAATTTTGTTATAGACTGAACTCGTTTTTTTTTAAAATATGTTGCTTATTTCTTTTACTATTAAGGATTAAGGGAAAGGGAAATAAGGGCTCATGTGACATTCAAAGCGAGTTACAATTTCCTGTTTTTAGTGTTTCGACTCTCGGAACTCAACGATATAATATATCGTTGCCACCTTTGACTTAGTGGAAGCCTAAATCTAAACCTGCGGTTATTCTCGTGTTGGGCAGGATTGATTTAAGTCTGCTTAAGACCAAAACATCAGTAAAGTCTGCTTGCCATTATGCTAAATTTAGTACTAAAAGTATTGTATCTACAAATTAGATGCGCGCGCCGATTCGATACTAAAAATTAGAGCATATTCTAATTTCTTGTACTAAACCCCCTCTGTGGCTCAGTGGTAAGAGCGCCTACCTTTAAACCTAACGGTCGTGAATTCGAATCTCACCTGGGTGGAAATTTTCGTTTATTAAAAAAATTAATAAATAAAAATAATTTCTATCCTTGTGTGATCGGTACTCACCGGAGGGACCGCAGACGTTCGGATACAATTAGCGTCTCTTAGCAAAGACAATGAAGTCGACTTTGCTAAGTATCAAGACAATTACTCTACACACACAAACACACACACACACACACACACACACACACACACACACACACACACACACACACACACACACACACACACACACTACATTAATAAACTTATCTTGATTGAGACTGGCTGAATGACAATTGTCCAAGCCAAAACACACAATAAAAAAAAATTTCTTGTACTAAAAATGATGAAACATTAACTAAAAGTGAGTTTATTCTCAACTAATCGTAACATTTCTTTAAACAAATTATTATTCATTCGTAAAAGGTTTTTATATTGCAAAGGGTATACTAATAATTATTTATTTAACATATTTAATATTCCTTTGCCTAACACTCTTCTCTTGATCCATTTTTTCTCCATATACGCTTTTTTTAAGAAACGTATGATTTTTTCTCTTTATTGCTAGCATCATTAAAGCTACTGCCTATCATTTTAGCTTCTTTGTCACAATCTTTATTTACCTGTGTGTTTTGTTTACTCTAATCATAACTACTTCATTGTTAGGTTATCAATGTAAAATTGGTAGAGCGCATGCTAACCTGTTAATTACAAATATGATAGTTGCAAACACAAACTCACATTTTTCATTAGTCGGTACTAAAATTGGCATAATGGCAAGTGGGCCTTAGCCGTAATCTCGTATTCCCTATGTATACTGAGCTCAGGATCAAGTCAGTATTTGTCTTTTTGTTCTACTCGAGGTTTCTGTCCCCGCTGAGCTTAGGTACTTGAGGCGCGTGTTGGTATTCTTTGATAAATGAACCGCTCCACTCAAACTACCAGCTTATTTGTGCCCTCGAATCCAATCAGGCTGGAGGTCAGTTGTAGCTCAAAGCACTTGAATAGCCAGGATGCGAAAGGTAAGCCTTATTAGAACCACGAAACTGCAACCACACAAAACGTCAGTCCGTGCCCTTGGTTAGAAAGAAACTATGAAAGCCTATAATTTCTATAATAGCAGTTATTATTAATAACTTGTATTTAATCGAATTTAAAGATCTAAGGATAAGTAAAAAAAGAGCCATTAAAGAGTGCCGCGAAACGTTTTACAAGTTTTTTTTTTAAATTATAAGTAAACGGAAGACAGTTTCACGATATTTCAGGTATTCAGTAGATCCAAAGTTTAACAATAAAAAGCTCCCTCCACTTTAGTTTATATTTTAGATGATCTGACGGTCAATAAATTATGTAGTCTTTCATTCACAAAATAGAGAAGAAAAGAATTTAGGAGGGAAGTTATGTTCCAACTTTGCTCTGCAAGGATTTTTAATAAATTATTGATTTAGTCTAATATTACTGACAATATTTATTCATACACCTTTATTGGGTTTAACATGAATTACTTTGTTATCTATTTAAAAATAATATGAAAGTACAATTGCCACAATAGAGCAGTCTGGATTGTTTTTAACGTAGCAGCTGAAATGAAGCAACATTTTTTCACAGTAACTTTTTTTATTATCTGAGAACCAAGAACGTAGGTACATTCATAAATGTGTTTTGTTTGCAGAATAATTTCATCTTCCAATTATTCAGTAATTTTAACCTTCTTGAGTTATATGATTGATAGAAAGAAAATAAGGAAACGATACCGTCACTGGATCCCTCTCTAATTAGACCCACAATAGCCTCTTACGTACGGCTCTCGAATTATAGTCAATGGCCCAGTGAAAAAAATCGATTACTCCGACCACAATGACGTGTGCCAGGAGACAATGTAATGGAACCAAATACAATTAGAGCTTCGGCCCTCGAATCCAGCAATTTGCGATCTTTTAAAAAACCTACACGCGGTTTCGTAAGAAAAGAGAACGAGCGGAGGGTTGGCGTATATTAACTGGTTCATTACAAGGAGGGGTAAAAGAGAATTGAGAAAAACTTGTGTAATTGCTGCTTGATTAAAGGCCTCAGCATGAGCCCTGGTGGAGGGTTGCGCTCGGGTTATTTTGCATCGTTGTGTGATTATTATTATGGGGGTGGTGTTGGCGAACACTCAAAAGAACAAACGTTTGAAGGTTTGGTTCGTTATGGGAAAAACGTGAGGAGCCACTTTCATCGGCGTATGATGAGATGCGAAAAAAGATTTTGAACTGATTAAAGATTTGCATATTGCACAAGCTAGTAAGTCTACAAAATTCCTTTTTTACATATCTATATATTTTTTATAAATTTTAGTAACTTCCGTTTAACCTTTATCATGTTTCTATTAATAATTTAAAGATTTTTTTGTCTTTGTGATTAATTTTTCTTTACTTTTCTTAATTTTCTTCTTTTAGTTCTATTGCCAAATTTAACTATGTCTTCTACAAAGAATAATAAGATAAATAACAATATAAGCACTAATATGATAACTTTTATGCGAATGAGGCCGAATCGAATGCAAACATATCGAATCAAATGCATTTATATTAAGAACATAAAACTTTTTCCTTGGGGCTTCCATCTCTGGACTACTTTTACAGCTTGATTATCTGGCATTCTTTCTAGAAGACCAAGCCAGTTTATTCTTTGTGACTTTACAAATCTAACAATATCTGCGCTCTGCATTAGTTCATCCAGCTCGTGGTTCATTTAATTATCCACGAACCATCGCTGAATTGGGTTGGTTCAAATATCTTCCTTAATATTTTGCACTCAAATATTCTCAGCTGATTTTCATCAGTGGTTGGGACGGTCTACATTTCACATCCATATGTGACCACTGGTCTAATTACTGTTTTGTAGATTCTAAGCTAAGACTCACGATTTAGTAACTTAATTTTCATTAAGTCTTTGTATGCATAAAAGCATTTGTTACCGCTAAGAATCCGTGCTGGTATTTCTTAACTGATGTTGTTGTTGTCATTTAATATTGAGCCTAGGTAGGGAAAAGTGGAGGCATATTTGTGGATATGGTTGTCTACCTTCAGATTCTTATGTTGATTCGATTTTGTGCACTGCATATGTTTTGTTTTGCTTTCATTTATTTATAGAGTATTCGTAGCAGCTTCTCATTTCAGTTCTATAACTTTTTTGCTTAATAACCTTTTGTTGCGACTTATTATGGCAACATCATCCGCATATGCGCATGTTTGCATTAATCTTGTATTATTACAACCGTTTATATCCAGTTTTCTAACAACAGCTTTTAAAGTTAGATTAAAATGTGGTGTTGATAAGGAATCACCTTGTCTAACTCCATTTTCAATATCAAAGACCTGCGTCATATCTCCATCTATTCTCACCATAGCTTTGGAACCCTCTAGAGTCATTCGTGTAAGTTTAACCAACTTATTGGGCATTCCTAACATAGATAGTTGCTTTAACATCTTCTGTCGATCTATTCCATCAACCGCCTGTTTGAAATCGATATACCAGTTGTAAATAGGTACGTTATATTCAACACATTTTTCATGTATACCTCTTAACATATGTATTTGGTCTATAGTTGACCTCTTTGGTCTGAAATTACATTGGTATTTACCAATCATCTCCTCTGAAAATGATTTCAGGCGGCTGTATATAATTCCTGATAGTATCTTGTAGACGACATTTAAAACTGTTAAGCCCCAATAATTTTTGCAGAGTCGTTTGTCTTCCCCTTTGTACATAAGAAGTATGATTCCTACTTTCCAATCTTCTGAGATCATTTCTAGTGTTCATATGCGGTCGAAGAACATAAACTAAGGTATCATAATAGCAACTGCTTACTAAATTTCTGCTGTTGTATTTTTTATTTATCCATATTAAGTACTGTCTGTTATTATATTTTTTTAGTTTTTATAAAGAAATATGAAATAGGTACAGCTAATGATTTGTTATATATATTAACAAAATAGGGTTACCTTTGTGTGGCATTTTCCACAAAGCCTCCGCACACGACGACTCCCTCAAAGAAAGCGTTTTGGCTGCTGAAATAACTGGAGAAAACCCGCCCGGAGTCGGGACGGGTCCGGATGTGGCTCCCAGGTTGACCTCTTGGGATTGCCTGTAAAAAATAAGAATATCAATAAAAAATACATAAAATGTAAGATTCAAATCAGCATAGCGATTAAAAGCAACAGGAAAGAAAATTGTATTTTTAGCAAAAAATTATATTGATCATTTTATTAAAAAACAATAACATATTTTCAACGTTTTATTCACACAGATCTTTACTTCACTAGACTAATATTTAGATTGTGCCTGTCGGAAGTTATTACAAACTATAAATTATTTCGTCACTCCCAAATCATCTAAGCAACAAATGCATTTTAATACTAACAAATATCAAGTCACAGATGTATGAAAATAATAAGGTTTGAAAATAATTTAAATATTCTAGTTTTGTTTAAAAACGCATTTTTTGGTCAATTTGATAACAATTTGAAAATTTTTGAGGTTCGGCTTAGATAAATCGAAATATTGACAATAAAAACCAGCTTCATTGGAATTTTTGAACTAAACATGCTCTATTATGAGACAGAAAATAAAAATTGAGTGTAAACTATTTTAAAAATGAACGGGATCGAATAGATGGTTTTAAGGAAATGAGTCATTATATGCTGCATTATATTGCATTTAAGCCTGTTGTCCAGATTTAGCCATACGGCTCAAATTTCCTTTAAGGGGAAAATTCACTTGTCCCAGATACCTACAGTATCAAAAGAAATGAGCTCTGGAGGGACTCTTCCCATGTTATCGAACCCTAGATGACTTGGTCCGTCAGAGTATCTCCCAAAAATTTTGGCTCTTTGGAATAACTCTAGTAGTAGAACTTTACATTCTCCATTGTCTCCTTATTTGTATTTTCAGATTTCGGTACTTGGCGATTTTTTTTGTGTATTTAACAAAAAGATTATTATTGTTAGGTATTGCTACATCTATTGGTGTTGTTTGTCTAATATTAAGTTTATTAACTCTAAGATTAGCTCTATTATGTGCCAGTCTTTGATTTGTGACTACACTGCGGTCTCAGTAAAGCTTATGTTGTCATTTTCAAGCATTCTGTCAACAACATATTGTTAATAAAGGAGATGCTTGATTTGAAGCAGTCCAAGTTTTCTAGTTAGCTCTTTGGTAAAGAATCTTTCCTACTGAGTCTTGGCGTTCTTTGTAATCAGTTCCGACAAACGCCTGGTAGCTCATGCAAGATGTTGGATGGTTTCTTGGGCTTGACATCCATATAGGCATTTATCGTTTGGGACCTGAGGGTCTTTGACAATATATTTTAGGTAATTTTTACTTGAAATAACCTGATCCTGAATGGCAAGTAGGAAACCTCAAGGAAACAAGGAAACATCTTTCCCGATTCCAACCAATAGTTTCACGCTGATTTGTCAACATGAGGTTTACTCATCCAGGTGTGCATTTTTTTATGCCTATTCAGGTGGAATTTGTACAAAGTTGGAAGACAAGTAATTGGGTGGTACGTAAGCTTGGTATTATTAATATTAAGTACATATTTTCTTTTTCCTAAGACTTGTAAATTATTAAATATTATTTCCCATCTTTATGTAGAGAAGGTTAAACTAGAAGTATTTTGTTTATTTCGTATTTGTATCTTTCACTTTATTATATAGTAATTATTATCTGTTCTCTTTTATTTATCCTTTTATAATTATCTGCCTTAGGTAATTTATTTTAATACACCCTTAGCTAATTTTTCTAAGATTTCCAAAGGGCAATACTAATTATGTAGGTTCCCACACCTGTTTTAGAAAAAAACTGAATACTCTTTACCTTTAAAAAATGGTTGTGTTACAAAGCATTGCTGTTTAAATTAATTGATTAGGTATCTTAAACAACGGTATTCACTAAACAGCTGTCAGAATATTCCTACAACATCATACATTAAAACCAATTTGTCAAATTTTAACAGCTGGATCATTAACATTCTTGTAGCCATTAAACTTTGTTACATGGAATAAACAAAAAAAGGTATCAAGACATACAACGATAACGTATACCGTCACCCGAAGTTCCGCAACCACCTAAGGTCACCTGAAGAAGAAGAAGCTGATTTCAATTTATGAATCATGAACAGAAACAAAATAAATCATTGACACCAGTCATCCCATGTCAAAATATTCACTTATCACAAGAGTGTAAAGGTGAATATCTTACTCAGCCCAGCGGTGTGTTTGTGATCGTTATGCCATTGTATGAGATCGAAAAAAGGTGCTGGAGGGTAACACCAGGACCGGTTTTTGTAAATTTCCAGTAGATTCCGGATCAAAAGTACCTTAAAATGTATGTATATAAATATTTATTAGGTATAGCTCTTATCCGTAAACTTAATTCATATTTTGAAAAAGTAGAGCCGAAAGAGTAGGAAAAAATAATGTTTCAAGGTTATGTATTTGAAAAGTAAAAACTTGTAAAAAGAATTGCACGTCTGAAGCTTTTTTTAATTTTTTACCTCTAAGTGTACACCTACATTGGAACCGTATTTCCCCCGATCCGATATCGGGCGACGTCGGCCGACGTCGGATAGAAAACAAACTCAAGGTATTAAGGTATTAATACGGTCGTTATCTGATCGGGGTTCCCACTGCAGTATAGGCACTATGCATTAATACCTTGAGTTTGTTTTCAATCCGACGTCGGCCGACGTCGCCCGATATCGGATCGGAAGAAATACGGTTCCAATGTAGGTGTATACTTATATGTAATAGTTTGAAAAACTACGTCACTAAGAGTGACGTCACTCGACAGTGAGGAGTAGGCAGATTGAGACCTCAGTGCCGAGAGACAGTTCTTGTATTTATAATACAGAACACGATACTGGTACGTGTCGAGTGATGGGAGTAGGCAGATTAAGACCCCGAACTCGGACCGAACCGTATCCCTCTTGATAATGGCTCCAAAACGGGAGCCGAAACGTCGAGCATCAAATTCTCAACGCGGTTCTTCCCGAGAACCTAGTGATTTTCATTCATCTGACCGCGGAAATCTATTCGAACATTTATATATATATATAATATATATATATATATATATATATATATAATATATATATATATATATCAGTAATAATGGAATATTAAGGAATAATGGAAATGGGTAATTTCAGTAAAAGTAAACGAAAAGAAGGAGAAGCAGACCAGAGGCAGAAGTGGTTCGACCAAATATGGAATAAATAAATACAAGAATATGGAAGCTAAAGAGAAAAAACCATAGAGGAGATGAAGGAAGTAGAAAAGAATAAAAGAAAGGGAAAAAATGGACAAATGATATACCACTATCTGACTCCGATACCGGGAGAAAAAGGAAAGGTTTATTGTAAGTAGTATTGGAAATTTTAAGTAGTCTTGAATAATACAAAATATTTTATATGAGAATTACGCTATGTTTAGGTAATTTAAAAACAATAGTTTCATCAAACCGTGATTCAAAAATGATACTTTCCTCAACCTCTTGGTAGCCTAATGACGCATCGTTGATTTTCTTGGCAGATATAAAATAAATACGTCGTCGCTCCACCAATTTTCTTCACTACAGTGTACCGTAGGTACTGCATTTGAACATGTTCGTCATTCTTCCTTCGACTTTCGTCTTATTTTTTTTTAATTTACGTCAATATATTTCTTATCTAATCATTTCTAGGAGAAATCCTGCTGATATTGTAATGAGTCTTTTTCCAAAGGAGCCTCTGCAGCTTATCAATTAGTTTTACACTTCAAATTGTTTGCCTTCTTTGCCAAAAAGAATATTCAAAGTGTTGTTTCTGAACAAAAATATCTTTGTTCTTGTTCAGAACATACGCAATTCTATGCAGGTTCTACGCCAGTTTAATAAAGTGCCGTTGTGGTTTTCGTTCTAGATGAAGATGTTGCTTATATATTCATATAAATGGTCAATTTGGTTATCTTTCATATAAAGCAGATTTCTATTAGATATTTCATAACAATGTTTTTCACAAATAGATTTTATCATACCTTTGGCATCGTCAAAGAATAGTGAAAATATCGCTTACGTTTAACTTGGCAACTTTGTAAAACTTTTAGTTAATTAGTAAATTGCATTTGTTATTCAGCTGCATCGGTAAAATTGACGAAACTAAAACTCTACATTGTATGTGTATCTCCACACTGTATGATGTTGGCGACCACATTCTACCTACAGCAGCTCGAAATAGATATGTTGAAGTTAGACCACTTCATTTCTCAAGATTAGCCAGCCAGGATATAAGTCTACAGCCAAGGCCTCTCTTGCTTTCAATCTTACCTTGTAGAATCAACTGTAGAAGTCAGCATATACTATTACAAATAGTGTGGCCAAAGTAAGTCAATTTTCTGTTCTTTACGATGTTAATAAATTCGTTGTCTTTTCTTATCATCTGAAGAATAGTAATTTCCACTCCTTCTAATGATGTATCGTTTCTTGTAATTTAGGCGTTTATGTTGGTGTTCTTACTAATGATCATTATTTTGATCTTCTTACAATTTAGTTTTAGGCCGTATTTGTTACATGTTTCTACAACATTGTCCATCATCCTTTGCGTCGTCTGCATATCTAATATTGTTTATAAGTTAGCCTTTTACTGTAATATTATCTTCTGATTTATTCAAGGCTTCTCTAAAGATATTTCTACAGTACATAATGTTAACTAATGCTGGTGGCAGTACGTAAACCTGTCTAACTTCTTTCCTGACTGTGAAGATCTCGGATAGTTCATTAGTCTTATATCCTTACCATCAAGTCCTGATGTTTTCGCAGGTCATTCTCATACAATTCTCAAAAAGCTTGAAAATAACAATGACAACCAAACTCAATTTAGTACACGTTATTTTTTACGTTTAACTGAATGCCATTTTGTTACTAAAGTATTCTCGTAGAAAGTAAGTTGCTTAAGTCCAAGTTAAGGAATATAACAATCTATAACATACAAATATTTGAACATTTTATAAAATGAAAAGTACAAAACATTGACTATACGTTAAAATATTTTTTTTTATGTTCTGGTTCGCTCTAGCAAATATTCATTAATATTTAAGTATTTCTGGA